TCGGCATTCTCTCTGAAAAGGATCAGGCAGCATGTGATGCAAAAGACCTCTCTACCTGTGACCCTGAAGAGTCACTGCCAACCAGAGTACACAGTAATGACTCTGATGGACCAATGATCTAATGTGCGCAATGTCATGTGAAAATACAGAGTATACTCCACCCAAGATGCAGACTGGGCTTTGCAGGTCTTTTTGCACCCTTTTTCGGATGACACCTTTACAAACAAAAGAAAAAACTGCTTACCAGAAGTGAACGCTGAGAATAAGCTTCGAGGCCCATTTTGTCCCGAAGGCCCTGTGGGAGAGAAAAGCTTAGGTTAGTGGTTCACATCTAATTTTCAGGAAATCAATAGATCAACAAGATTTTTTTTTTAAACACAGGAACACACAAACGGGGGGGAAAGATGATTCAGCCGGGGGCAACTGACAGCCGCAAGAGTGAAGTGCATTTCACCCTTTCCCCATCTGTTTCTTTTCTTCAGATTTTCCTCAGCTTCTTCCCATTCTCTTTAGGATTTTAAACACGTACTGAGGGAAACCCACGAACAAAATTCCATGAGGGAAGAAAAACCAAAAAGGGAAGCAGGAAGAATTTGGAACTAAGAACAGCAGACGGATAAAGGATCCAACAGCTTCCTCCGTTCAGTAAACCTCCTCCTATATCTCCCTCTAAGCAACTTCTCCTATATTAAAAAAGGGCTCTCAGGCTATCATCATGCATGTAACACATAACAGGTTCCCAAGCAGTCTGCCATCTACCTTTCAGGTTTAGAAACCAATCTAAAAATACATGCAAAACATTCCCAGTTAATTTGCTGGTATGTTTTTTTCACTGAGAAGTGAGTTAACACGTCTAGCGCACTTATCTGCCTAAATGCTTATGCAATTAATCTTTAAGCATTATTTCCAAAAAAACAAGTTATTTTATACTCTGTTTTGCATATGAACATCGGTCACTCACTTGTACACGAGGTGTCCGCTCTGGCTTGGATGTTACTGTGAAACAGGTCCCCCCCCCCCCCCGTTTCCTCACAGCATCATGGTGCTTCTGTGCACTTTCTGGATTTCCTCCACTTCTTCTTTTTTTTTTCCTAACCAGCTTCACTACAATGTCTCAAGAAAGATCACAGAGAAGCTGGGGTGGCATTCATCAGGACAGGAAAACCCAAATCTTCCAGGTCCTGCACACAAGGGAGCCATTTCCCCGTTTTTTATTTGAAAACTGGCAATTAAATATAATGATCTGTCCATCAGGTTCTCTTAGGGTTGCCAGCCTCCAGGTGGTGGCTGGAGATATCCTGGGATTACAACTGATCCCCAGGTGACAGAGATCTGTTCACCTGGGGAAAATGGCTGCTTTGGAAGGTGGACTCCATGGTATTTTACCCAATTGAAGTCCCTCCTCTCCCTAAACCCCGCCCTCCTCAGGCTCCACCCCTGCAATCTCCAGGCATTTCCCAACCCAGAGCTGGCAACCCTAGGTTCTCTGAATTTGCAGCTTCCATTTTTAAAAGTCAGTCTCCTGCCCCTCTCCTTGTAGAGATTCCCCATGTATCTCTGCAACAAAAGGGGATAGAATCTTACTTGGGAGAGGCCATAGCTCAATGGTAGAGCATCTGCTTGGCATGCAGACGGTTTCAGGTTCAGTCCTCAGCATCTTCAGCTAAAAGGACCAGGCAGTAGGTGATGCGAAATACTTCACCCCAAGACCCTGGAAAGTCAACTGCCAGTCTGAGTAGACAAAACTGACTTTGATAGCCAGGGGTCTGATTCAGTATAAGGCAGCGTCATACGTTCATACTTTTTAAAATAAAAGACTGGAATTCAGAGAACTCGATATAATATTTTAACCACCTGTCTAATAATATTAAATTGTCAATTTAAATAAAAACGGGGGAAGCCCCAAGTGATGTGGGAGGAAGGCTGCTGTAGAGGACTGGGGTAGAAATAACTCAAGGGGCATGGAAGACCCAACAAGGAATACAACGGAAGTCCGCCCCTGTCTGGAAAAACTCAATTATTTCATACTGATCCCTCGTTAAGACACAAGATCTATTGTTCCCACTACTGAAACAAAAAAGCACAGTCTTACCCAGTCATTTCTATTGTTTAAAAGTGAATAGTGCACATGCACACATCCTTCACCTTGTCCTGAACAAAAATTTAACAGTTCGGGACCGATGAAGAAAACTGGCTTAACAATGTATAATTTCCTATTCAAGCACTAAATACCTTGTCCAATGCATACAAAGCTGGGCTATTTCACATCCTTCCCCAGACTACGTGGTGGTGGTGGTGGTGGTGGAAAGTGCCACCAAATTGCAGCAAACTTATGACGATCCCACAGGGTTTTCAAGGCAAGAGATTTTCACGGGTGGTTTGCCATTGCCTGCCTCTATGTGGCACCCCTGGACTTTGGCACCCTCCATTACCAAATACTAACGAGGGCTGACTCTGCTTCGCCTGATGAGATCTGGCTAGCCTGGGCCATCGAGATGAAGGCATACTATACAGTAGGTTAATGGTAATTTCTTCTGAGATTAAAAATAAAATGTTGGGAAACTCTTGCTTCATTCGCAATAACTCCCAGAAACAAATGTATGGAGTTTTCACACCAGTGGCAAAATCAATGTAATTAACAGATATATTTTTTTGTACATGCAGCCATCAACAGCTTTTTCAGATAAGCATTCTAAATAGTGATCATAATGGGTGTACTCCTAAATTAAGCAAACTTAAATCCTATTAAAATCCCGTAGTTTATAGTTTCCCTTTCCTTATTTTCTTGAAGTTTTGGAAAATAATTTTTAAAAAATCAACAGAAACAGATGTATAGTTAGACATATACATCATTTAAATGGAGCTGGATTGTCCCCAATATACAAAAAGGTCCAAGACTAATTTCCTGGCTTAGATTTTGACCTATTAAACAAGAGCATGAAAAGAAGAAGTTAACATGCTGGATTTTCTCAGACAAAGATAAGATCATTAGCTTATCATCAAATAATACTGTACCTGATTGCTGACTGCCTTTTGAATCACTGGTTTTCCTTCCTGGAAGAAGTGCTCCAGCTGATTTTGGCACACAGGGGCTCACCACACCAAACTTTCTTTTTGTTCCTAAATGAAATCCACAGACACCCGCCCCAAGAAATTCAATTAGGTTTGGGTTTAAGTATTCAATACTAGGGATGGGCACGAACCGGGTCACAAGCCAAAATTCAGCACAAACCTGGCCCAGTTTGGAGCCCCCGAACCAGTAAACATTTACTGAGCTTTTGCCCATCCGCTGTTAGGTTTAAATGGCTGGCAGCCATTTCAGCAATCCATTTCACTCCCCCCTCCCGCTTCCAAGCAGGGGGAAGTGAAATAGATAGCTGAAATGACTGACAGCATTTCACCCTAACAGCAGACGGGTGCACCCACCACTGTTAGGCTGAAATGGCTGCAAACCATTTCAGTGATCCATCCCCCCCCCTTACTTCCAAGTGCGGGGAAGAGAAATGGACCACTGAAATGCCTGCCAATCATTTAAACCTAAGAGCTGGGTGGGTCCGCCCATCAGCTGTTAGGTTTAACCCTTCCCAGACTATTCCTCCCCCCTTTCTTGCAGCAGCCAGGAGAAAGGGCCCCCCAAACTGGCTGGTTCAGTTTAGGCATTTTTTGTTTGGTTTGGGGTTTGGTTCTGGACCACCCCAAACCACACTGGATTTTTTTGGTTCATGCCCATCCCTATTTAACACATCTCCAGACAAATAAGACAAGTTGCTAGAATATACTACTGCAAACATCCTCCAAAACCCCACACCAAGGTCTAATTAGATATTACAAAAAAGATAGCAGGGTTGCACTTACCTGTAACTGCTGCTCATCAAGTGATCTCCTGTGCAGGCATGCATGGGACTGTGCAGGTACAGGCCATCTTCCAAGATGGAGAATCCAATGGTTTCTAGAAAATTGGAAGCACTAGGAGCACTCCCTCCCTCCAACAGTTTCCCACCCAAACTGGCACATGATGGAGGTAGGAAGTATGCTCTTCCCCTAGTCCACCCTTTGCTGCGTGCAGAAGACAGGCCCTCAGCGTAAGCAGCCCACAGTGGGGAAAGGAGAAAGGGATCTGTATCTGCATAGAAGACCATTTCATGAACAACAGTTGCAGGTAAGTGGCTTCTGTACAGTCTACCGCATGGGAGGGTAGAAAGGTTGCTCACTGAGAAGCTGGGAGTGGGCTGATCAGTGAAAAAGTGACCGCAGCACTGCTTTCTCCACATCAACAGAGCAGTACTTCATGAATGTGGATGAGTGGACCAGGTAGCAGCCTTGCAGATGTCATCTAGAGAGACCGTGCACAGAAAGGCAGCCAAAGAGGCCTGTAGTCTGGTGGAGAAAGCTTTGACTGGGAAAGGACATGTCATGTCTGCCACTGAGTATGCCAGTGTAACTGCAGCAACCAACCAGCAGGAACATGTTTGAGGAGACAGCTCTTCCCTTGTTCAGGCCAAATAAGCATACAAATGAATTCTGCTCTCTCCTAAAGTCTTTTGTAGATTCTAAATTAAAAGTAGAGGTCTCCTAACATCTAGGGTTTGTGAAGTCTGTTCTGCTTGAGAAGCTAGGGTCAGAAAAACACACACCAGAAGTACTATGTTGTGCGAGAGGCACAACTGAGAAACCAGCTTAGAAAAGGAAGTCACACCTGGACAAAAGGACAACCTTGACTTTGTGAAATTTTGTGAATGGAGGGTCACACTGCAGAGTGTGCAGTTCTCCCACTCTTCATGCTGAGGTGATGGCTACCAAAAATGCAGACTTATACAACAGAATACACAAGTCACACGTTGCCATGGGTTCCAATGGTTTATATATAGGTTTACTCAGTACCCAAGACAAGATCCACTGAGGGACCTGGGAAGTAATGGATGGATATAAGTTGAATAAACCTTTCAAAAGCCTCCAGGATTGATGAGCAGAGAACACAGGGGATGCTTCCACCTTGACATGGAAAGCCAAGGTAGCGGCCATATTTTAGGGAAGAGACCGACAAACCAATATTTTTGCGAGATAATATTCAGAGATGAGTGACCAGGGTAAGTAGCAGGTTAGACTCCATGGTGGGTTGCCCAATCACTAAACCTTTGCCACTTGGTTGATAAAGATTTACTTGTGGCAGGTTTATGGGCTGAGATAAGAACCTTAGTGACTGTTCACTGACCTAGTGGTGTACCAGCCACGTTGTGAGGTGCAGTCACCCAACACTGTAATGGAGAAGGTGACCTATGTGAAGCAGGTCCTCCATCAGATGTCTCATGTGTACCTCCTGAGAGATCCCAGAGGACTGAAAACAATACTCTCCTGGGCCAGTATGGGACTATGACAATGTAACATTGAATCTTCTGCTTTTGGTTTGGCAATCACCCTGGATAATATAGTATAAATGGGGGGGAGAGCATGAAAAGGCCCCCCTGCCATCAGAGTTGAAAATCATCCCCAATGGAGTTCCTGTCTGATGCTGGCCCTTGAGCAGAATGGAGGGACATTTGTCATTTTTTTTTCAGAAGCAAAAAGATCAACGACTCTGCTCATGAAACATTAGTAGTAATCTTCAAGAGTCCATTTGTGGTCTGCCCTTGCTTCCCTGCTTAGGACATCTGCAGTGATGTTACTTTGGCCAGGAATATGAACGGCCTGAAGGGAGATGTTTCCTTGAATGGCTATTCCCAAATGCTGCTGACTTCAGTGCACAGGACTAGTTAACCTGTCCCGTCCTCTGTGTTTAGATAGAATTTCACCATTATGTTGTCCGTAGCCAGTAAAACCTACTTCCCGATAAAGAAAGCTGCAAAAGACGCAAGACCATACCTAATCGCTTTGATCTCCAAAAAATTAATATGCAGTACAGCCTCTCTCTCCCTTCCATCGGCTCTTAACATGGAAGGAACTGTGATATGCTTCCCAACTCCTTAGGGTAGCATCAAAAAATACAATCATCTGGATGTGTGCCAAATTCACAGTCTGTTGGGAGTTGGAATCCTGGCTCCACAATGGGACAGACGTGAGGAAAGACCAAGGGACTGATAGCCTGAGCTACTGGGGGTCAGAACGAATCCTGAATTTACAAATAAACCAGATTCGTACTGGCCTCACGTGCAGCCTTGTGCAGGGAACCACTGCTGTCGTAGAAGCCATCAACTCCACATCGTAGAGGTCAAAGCCCGGTGTCGAGGAGTCAGAGACTTACAGCATCAAGGAGAAGGTGATGAATGGCAATGAGAAGCCAATGGAACGGGCTTTGTCTTTTTCTTTGCCTTCTTAGGTGGTGGTTCTGATGCCGCCCTTGGAGCTGAGGCTACCCTTTGAGGTTGTTTAGAGCTTGGTTCTAACAATGGCATACAGGCCCTTTCCCCCCCGGCTGAGCTGGGTGCTTTTCAAATCGGAGACCAGGAGCCCCAACGCTTTTCCCCACAATGCGGCTTTCAGCCAAGCAGCACTTTCGTGATGGGCCTTTAGGGTCAACTGGTGGCAGAATTGACATGCGGCCCATGGCATTGTGCACCCCCTCCCCCCCAAAACAGAACAGACAGGTCCCACACCCTTTACACTTTTTATAGAGCACCATAATCTGATGTTTTTACCAAAAACTCTCCAACGAAAAATCCCGAGCAGAAATGCCTGATGAGAAAGCTCGGAAACTATTCTCCCTCCACAGCGGTGAAGAGAAGACTGAAAGAAAGCACTCACCCCACCCCTGTCACCTGCAGTGCTCCTACTGCTTCAAATCTTCTAGAAAGCTTTGGATTCTTTATTTTTTAAAATATTATAAATTTTATTTAATACAAAAGCTTTGGATTCTTCATCTCCTTGGCTGGCCTGCACCTGCGCAGTCCCATGTGCGCCTGCACAGAAGCTATGATAATGGAACTGAGCTGCTGCCACACTGACTCTCTTCCCACCGCCCTCCATGTAACAGGCTAACCAAACCGCATGTGAAACGATAAAGCAACTATGCATTCTGCTGCTGCCACCACCACCACCAATGGTCCTTTCTGTACTTGGATCTCATCCTTAGTTTTATCAGAGTTCAACTTGCGACACAATACCTTGCATTTATCCCCGATTAGAACAGCATCTGTTTATCCCAGGATAAGTGTGGGGCGAAACCAGGGTGTCCTCAATGTAATGTGGAAATAGAAAATACCCTGAGATAATTACAGGGGTGAACTCAACGTGTAGTGTAGAATGTAAGTTTGGGGACAGGGCTGAACCAGGAATTAAGGTCAAGTGCGGAAAGGACCAATGTGAAGTGGGGACAGCTCAGTGCACAGTGGGGTTATATATCATGCACTGTATTCAACAACAAGACAATGCAGCACAGTCTTCCTAGATGACCTAGCTAGAGTCTTAGACACTACTGACATTTATGCCACATCTATATCCTGGAAAAAGAAAGGCTGCTTATATGGTTCTTCTGCTCCCTCACCTTCTACGTGTGGAAAGGTAGGGAGAAGATGTTGCATTCTGGCATCAACCCATGAACTATGAAGTAACTGAATTATCCAGCTTCTTGCTTGGAAAACTGTCTTGCAATTATGGCAGTCTAAGAAACATATTGATGTATATTTCTGTTGTGCTTTGATTTACTTTGTGTTGTTATGGCCAATGGCTAAGACAATAAATGAAAACTTGAACTTGACTAAGAAACATGGTATTCCACATGACTGCAGTAAAGGAAGTGTTTAAAACGGGTTGGCTCCTTTGCCAGAGGCTTGTGACACGTGAAATCAGATCTCTACTTTAGGTGGACCAGGAACATCATTACAGCATACTTCCTGACTTAGAAATCACTCTGGCTGCATTAGGAATGTCTTACCTGCCCACTTGGAGAGGGAAGCTTAATAGTTTAAAGGTGCTCTTTTCTCCAGGCTGCAAATATTAGTACCTTATTGTGGTCATAACCTCCAATGCATCATCAAAATGTCAACCATTTATAAATCCTTGACCTTTGTGTATATCAGTGTCAACTCTAAGCTTGTAATGCATCTGCTTAGCCTGCAAACCACCTAGAATCCTGTGAAGTTCAACAAGCAGCCACAGACATAATGATCAGAGAGACCCCCCTATGAATTTCTTAGCAAATCTTTTGCAGATGGCAATTTGGGAGTCCTCCAACTCAAATATCCCTCACTGAGAATAACAGGCCGCACCAGCGTTTAGAAAACGAGGACCAAAACCCCATATTCACCTTGCAAGATGGCTGCTGGGAACGGAACACAGCTAATGTAACAATGGGGGATTTGGGGGAAATGTAGGGATGTCTCCCTCATGCCTGAGCAAATGCTATGCAAATCACTGTGAGAAGTCACGTACCTTTGGGGGTGTTTTTCAGGGAATACACTCTTGGCCTGGGCACTGGCTTTATAGCCGAACCATTTTGACAAGCGGACTTGGAAGGCCACTCTCCATTCTTGATGATAATTGTGGCACTTGTAGCTGTCAATAACAAAGAAGAAACCACAGGAATTTTTTTTGTACTCCCGGAACACAAATTCAATCCAAAGAGTTCACAACCAATCGCCACATCGGCTGGTACGTTCTGGTTATAAGTGGCTATGTTAAAATCCAGTACGTTTTACATTTGTACACAGACTGAATGCTAACGGCAGCTGGTGTTCAACCAGGAACCAAAGAGCCAGCCACTGATTGCCTGAAGCCTCTATACCAGGAATCACCACGTGGGCAACATCGTGCCCACTGAAACTCTTCCTGGCACCCACTCAGTGCTTTTAGAAAGTGGGCGGAACTAGGTAGGGCTTCAGCTGTGCAGATTTTTAGAACCTTGCTTGCCATCACAGCACATGGATCTTCACTATGTGACTCAAAGTAAGCTGGAATAGCCATTTTGTGGCTGGCTCCACCTCCTGAGGCAGCTCTTTTGAGGCTGTGCCCACCACGCCATGTCATGCTCAGAAAGGTTGGGCACCTGCTCTTCACCAATGTTGGTACAAGCTGTCCAAGAACGAAAATTAGATGTCTCAACACTGTACTGTTGGATTTATACTGTCCCATCCTCCGCATAAGCATTTTGTGCCCGTAATCTCTTTGTATACGCAGAGACTGGTCTGATCCATCCAGACCCAAAGACACGAAATTAGGGTTACCATATTTTGAAAAGCAAAAAAGAGGACATAGCTCCCAACTGACTACTTCAAACAAGTGATCACTATGACAAATTTCATTTTAAATACCCCTATTAAGTTGTGACAATTGCTACTAACTAGGAATATCCCTAACCTTCCAACCCAAAAAGAGGACATTTTCATCAGCTTTTTAAAAACAGCTCAAAAGGGGACCAAAAAGAAAGGACACACCCTCTAAAAGGAGAACATCTGGTAAGGTAAAAGTAAATGTTTCCCTAGGGGGTGGTGCTCATCTCCGTTTCCAAGCTGAAGAACCAGTGCTGTCCGAAGACTTTTCCGTCATGTGGCCGGCATGACTAAACGTCGAGGCATACGGAAGAACATCTTGTGACCCTACACAAAATCATTGTTTGGGAGATGCTTTCAAAGATTCAAATGCAGCTCGTTCTCTGACCAGTGAAGTGATTCCAGAAGTCTGCCATACTACAACTCTCAAGCTTGGCTGACAATCGTGTAAGCTAAGGGAGTGAGGTCATACAAAAAGAAACTCTACAAGGCACTCTGTACAAAACTCCCAGAATTATTCTTTTTATAGACTATTCTCCTCCTACACAATGCTTTTTTCTTAAGAATTTTTGCAGAACATTTTACATTCGACAAAATAGCTTTCTACTAACCCTCCTCCACCTATACCTATTACTACATATAAAGCAGCAAAAATAATTAATTCCATATGGCTCTCTTTTCTGGCTGCCCATTTATTTACCACTATTGCTTGTTCTCCTTCCCGTCCCCTTTATTTTTTGCACACCCAGAGACTTTCCAGCCTCTACAATATGCTTTCACATACTTATTCATACTGCACTTTCACATAACGTCCTCTTGGAACAAAGCTATTATAGGCTTTCTCCCTGCTGTGAAATATCTACTCGCATATGAAGCATATCACTGGTTTCTACATGCTCCCAGCTCTACTAAGGAGGGAGAGAAGTAAGAGGTAAAGCAGGCAGAAAATCTAGCAGCACAGCCACCTCTGAAAAAAAGCTATTAATTTTGCTCCCTAGGAAAACTGCACTAAGATCAGTTTCAGTCTCCTTGCTCTAGATGGTGTTTTACTCTTCCCTAATACACAGCAGAAAGCTTTCTAGGAAATGGTAAATCCAGAAGTAAACTGCGTGTTTAAAAAAATTACTTACAGGTCATATGTGCTATATATCATGCGTTCACACACAATTCTGATCCATTAATCACAGACGTCTAAGTCCCTTCCTAGCAAATTTCTTACCCCACTATAATCCCCTTGCTTTGCAACCAGAGTCTCCAGTGGATTTGAAACCTTGGTCACCATTAGGGTTACAACTGGTGCCAAGATTAGCCTTGACTATTGTGAATATCAGTGAAGGGAGAGCAAGCGGATAATTGAACCTGAGAATGGAGGGAGGGCATTTTCCCATGGTCTGCTCCCTTGTGTTAAAGATTTGGGAATGCTGTAATTAAATACCAAGTATTTGTATTTTAAGACATATTCTGAAGTCCTCTCACACAATGCAGAGATTAACAAAAGAAGGTAACTACTCCTGAATAACAGTTCTTGACATTTATATATTAACATCTTTGGAAAAGCACACACTACACATTAGGGTTGCCATTCCCCCTGATGTGGCCAGGGGATCCCCCAATTTCAGGGGGTCCAATCTGCCACCGGCCAGCTGGTCAGCGGGGGAACCCCACTCCTGAACAGCAGTGTCCTGCAGGAATGCTGCAGACACAATAATGTCACCAGTAGCGACGTCATCACACTGGGGCCACTGCACGGCAACGCTCTAGCATTCAGGGGGAACTCTATGGTTACCATAGCGTTTTTGCTCCATATGCTAGAGCATCGCCACGCAACAGCCCTAACGTGATGACATCACTATCAGTGACATCATTACACAAGCAGCGTCCCTGTGGGATGCTGCTGTTCAGGGTTGGGGCTTCCCCTGCCAGCCAGCAGGCCAGTGGCGGATTGGGCCCCCTGAATTAGGGGATCCCCTGGCCCCACCAGGGGGAATGGCAACCCTAATGTGCAGTGTGTGCATTTCCAGAGAGGTTAATATCTGAATGTCAAGAACTATTATCCAGGAGTAGTTACGTTCTTTTGTTAACCTCTGGTTACCATAGAGTTTTTGCCCTGAATGCTAGTGTTGTCGCGTGACGCTCCTAGCACGATGACGTGTGAAGTGTGATGAGAAGAGTCCTGAGGAGGAGCCAGGAGCCCTCCACTGCTGGAGAGGTGAGACCTAGCAAGACTAGCCAAGGTTACCTATCCATTGCCTTTGAGAACTACAACAATCCAATAAAGTTGAGAAGACTGATGGACAATTCATGCACTGCTTTCAAAGCTAATCTAACAGTTTGGGAATCTACTCATTTTATCATTGGAGAGGGTCCTTAATAACTGTCCAGAGCTGAACAGCAGGCTCTAAAAGTTGTAAATAAAACCCACCAGTGCCTACGTAAAAACTAAATACAACACCTGGAAAAAGGAAGAGGCTCTGTTTAGCTACCAAACACATAGCTAATTGACTTTCAACATGGACACTCAGAATCTGCTTCAATCCCTTACTAAGTCAGCATATTTACTACTACTACTGCAGTTTTTTAAAGCCCCTCAAAGGCAGCAGCAGGGACAGAGATAAAGAAAATGGTGTTAACGTGGGTGAGATCTGAAGAAAAATACATGCATCGTCCAATCCATAAAGCACCAAAGGTATTTTGACTGTTATCTTTCCAAAGAGATAATACCAAATCATCTTCGGGAAAGAACGAGTAAAGCAGGGGGCAATAGGGAAACAAGGAAAACATTGTCAAGTAAATGCTCTCCAAAACAGCATTGTGGTAAGAAAGCCAAAGTGGAACAAAGTTTCCATGTTGAACAGTCTATGGCAGTGGTGGCGAACCTATGGCATGGGTTGTTTTTTCGAAAGTAAAACCTCAGTATTCAGGTTAAATTGCCGTGTTGGAACTTTGGGATAAATAAGTGGGTTTTGGGTCGCAGTTTGGACACTCGGTCTCTAAAAGGTTCGCCATCACTGGTCTATGGCAACTTTAATCCAGACAAGCATTTCTTGCAAGCTCAAGGAATTCTGCCTACAGAGCACAATTGCCCCACCTCCCCTCTCACAATAGCCCCAAATGCCCCTGAGAGCTTGTTCTTGAGGGTGCCCAGTCCCTCAAGAACAGGATTTGGGAGGCTGCAAGAAGACAGAAAATTAGGCAAGACTGCCTCTCTTCTTCCAACGGTAGAATATCAATACGTACAGCCCAAAAAATCAAGAGGGTAGTTTCTCACTGGTAAATACAACTCTCCTCTTATATGCTTGCCTCCTCTTTCTTCAAGTACAGGGCTTATAGCAACCATCAGTCAGACGTTTTAGGACTACGAGCCAATGCTCCCTACGAAACAAACCACCACAGTGAGAAAAATTGGTCAACTGACCTAGTTTGATGACAGCACTGTGTTACCAGTCTTTGCAAAAGATCTTGTTACAATAAGAATGTTCAAAGGCGGTATTTACAAAATTAGAACAGATCAATAAAATTTAAAAGGGCTTTGTACTATCTATCTATACACACACACACCTGTGTTTAAGTATACAGTTAATGTATGGACTCCTGTTGCAGGTGCTCTTTACCCCACATTAAGATAGGTACCACCAGCCTATTAACATCTAAGCTGTTCAAGCGAAAACTCCAATTGGTACAGCTTGCTTATTAATTGGATTATGTCATTTTCTGTTTCTTGGTGGTCAGATAAGGTTGGAAGAAAACTGATCAGACGACTTCTCTGGCACCTGCCTTGCAAGCTACAATGAAAAAAAAAACCCAGTACAAGACAGAAGGTTGCCAAACACTCTACATCCTAGCACAGACTTTCAATCGGGATTACATTTACTCTTAATTTAATAATTCTGTGTTTGAGCAACTGAGTGCTTTAAGGAAACACGTTCATTTGGGAAAAGGACCTAGGCCATATCAGGTTTACTAGACCATTAAAAATCCAGCAAGTCCATAGCTATGGGAAAGCTAACTTTTAAAAAACGATTGATCAGTCATTGTCATGGTCCATCTTCTAACAGAAAATGCAGTACTTTAGTTCCAAGACAGTTTTTTTTTTAAAGAGATGGGTACTTTAAATGCCTGTCAAAGTTACAATAGCCTGTACAGAAGAGCAAGCAATCTAATAACCTGCCTTGTGCATAAGGCAGGGGTTCTATACATATCAGCCCAGCCTCATGGGCATGCCCCATCACAAAACTGCTTTTTAAAAAAAGCTTTATATTATGGTCAGGCATGCATGCAAGGTCTCGTTAAGCTTGCATAAGAAACAGCTCACTTCAAGTTCTATTTCGGTTTTTGCTCCATTATGCAAAAATGTCATCTTAAAATAAGAGAGAGGAGTTAAGTGCTATCTATACAAACAAAACACACTGCAGGTACTTCAGCTTCTAAGGGAATCACAGAAACAACTGACAAGACACAGCGGGCAAACAGCTTGTGCAAGCTGGTTTTCTTTAAAGGAGAAAAGAGTCCTAGGGAAGCTCTGCAATTTTACTTGTTTCCCATTATTAACAGATATTTATTGCATTTACACTTGCACTAGCCTCACGGAGCAAGCATCTTATTCTGACCTTAAAATGCCCTGGCAAGATGCTTCTACCCAGCTTTGTCTATCATTGACATCGACTGAGCCAAACCATCAACTATTATTGGGACTCTATATACATTTATCTGGAGATCTAAAAGACCCATCTGGCAGGGAAAAAACTCTACACTGGGAAATGCATCCAGTGATATTTCCCGGATCTGATTATCGCTCAAGCGACAGTAACACAAGCTTATATTTAGACAGAATATTAGCCTCCCTCCCCCACAAAAAGCACACAGAATAAAAAGGAGCTATCCACAATTTAAAGCATTCTGTTTGACACACACACACATTCTCTTTATTGAATAAGAAACCAAACACATGCTGCCCCTTCTGCTTAAGAAAGAAAAGATGGAACACCTACTTCTTCTCCCAGTAAATGAGGCTAACAAAGGAATTATACAAAAGCTGTACGATCCAACTAACAGCAAAGCCAGTAAGGTAATATCGCAGTGGCTTCCTGAATCTGCCGGTGGCGTTAAGGTGGAATTGGTGAAAATGTGAGGAGAAAATTCAGTTTCTGTGCAACTGCGAAGTCCTCCTGGTATAGTCATTTAAAAATGATCAAAGCAAGCTCAAAGCTCGAAAGACTGCAGCCATGTTCACCCGCTCCGCTAGTATTCCCCCCACGCTTGCTCTTAGTGAATTAGAGTGGAAAAGAATTGTAGGCTTCAAGGCAGGCAGGAGACAAAACAGATTAAGCCAACTAGCAAATCAGGCTAAGAAAGAGTCATCCACTGAACGCTTAATCTGAAAAGGAAACCTCCACAGTTCTTTGTCGTGAAGCAAAGATCTCCCCCTTTGTTAAGAGCAAGAATAAAAAACAAAACAAAACAGAGCATTCACAACCTCTTTAGGTGATTCCAGGCACTGGAGTAAACCAAACGGCAAACGCACACAAAAAAAAGGCAACATGGCTGTCAGTGCAGAACCAATCTGTTTGTAGGAGAGATGCATGCTGAAAAATTTAAATGTCACTATCAGCTTAAAAAAAATAGCACAAAAGGGAGGCTTTATTTTCATTTCCAACAAGGGGGGGGGGGATACAGGAAAAACTAAAGCTGTACTGTTAGCCTCCTAAGCTCAACAAGGTTTTAGCATAATAGACCTCCTTCCCAGAAAACAGACTTGAGGTTCTTCAATATGTGGTACCATCCTTCCCCCCAAAATCCCTGCCTTGTGTCCTATATTTTATACAGTTCAAGGCACTGACAAAGCAAGCAGCACTCAGCTTCAGCAAGGCTGTGCTACTAAATATTAACTCTTTTTGTGCTTAAACTGTATGTTCTTAAGCATTTGCCCAGGGCTGTAAATTGCAATTCATCTGAAAGCCTAACAAAAATGAAAGCACCCAGCCTTCAAGATAAACTGTGACACATGAATTTATACAAAAAAAGTTTTAATAAGGCAAGAAAAGGGAATCTCAGTCTACAACCTGAAATCATTTATCTTGCATGGCTAGAGATTATCACCACTCCTGACAGGACATGCACGAAAGTCAACCAAGATGTCAATGTTTTCTGATCACCGGCTAAAGCAATATATATTATATATATATATATATATATATAGTGCTATATATATATGAATGACAAGAACCTCAACAAAGTCATTGGTCTGAGCAAGAGTCCGATACAAGACATTTCAGGTTGTAGCCAACTAGTCACTGGGGAAAAAAGATTCTCAGGACTGACTTACATTTATTGCTGCAAGTACTTTGGTCACTCTGTGTGCTGCTGACTGAAGAGATGCTAGGGGTTCTCCGAAATCCTGGTCCTTTGATGGGCACTTTTGATTTAGGAATTGACTTTCCAGAACTGGTCAAAGTTCCAGGCAATGTTCTTGCAGATGCGAGCCTCCCTTTAGGAGAAAAAAATTCCGCTCCTATATGAGTATAAAGAGAAAGGATGAGTCAGTGTTGATAGTCACACCAAGAGCCACTATAGCAAGTTAGCATGAATTGCTTTCAGCACTCAAAGCACTTCACATACATTACGTTCTTGTAATCTTTACAATAGCTCTGTAAGGTAGAGCAGTATTACCTTCAGGTTACAGACTGGATGGGGGGAGTGCAGGGAGACTAAGGTCAAGAGGTTGGTTTGCCTAAAGCCATCTAGCAAGGTCAGTGCAGAGGCAAGATTTGAATCAGGGTGTCATGCTTCATTTCCTTAATCACCACCCTGTGCAGCTCATCTCTAAACTGTTTAAAAATGAAAACAGTGTAAATCCATTTATATAATAATCTGCAAAGACTTGCATGGCCCTCTAAAAGAAAAAAGCAGGTTGCAGGAGATGTTAAAGTTGATAAGAAATTACTATTTGGACATACTTATTTGTCATGTTTTTGAAGTCTGTTTGCATTAAAGAAGGCATCCTGCAATATTGATATTGGTCAAAATCAGCAATGTGGGTTTTCCGGAAAATCTGAACTGGAAGATTTTCTGGAAAACTTAAATATGTAATTTAAATAATGTTAGCAACAGGCAAGGTTTTCCTGTGGAAGTTTTTCTTTTTTGGAAATCTTTCTTCCCCACATCACTGGCCAAAAACAGCCTCGCCACACTATATCCTAATGCCTTCCACAAGGAGCTCCGGGCAATATACACCAGGGTCTCATTTAAACTTAACTATGCTAGGAGAGCATGACCTATGTGCTGAACCCATGGACTCCAAGTTCAGCACCTTAGTCACTATGGATGTACAAAATAAAAATCCATGTACTACCAGTTACTCGGTACTCACTGCTTTTGCAGGATCATTACACAAACCAGAGACCAGGATGGAGATATGTGTTATGGAGTGGATGTGATGTCCAGACACTTAACTCAGACTCAAGGATCACTCAAGACACTTAACTCAGACTCAAGAATCACTCAAGAGGGTGGGGAAAGTCTCACCGCTAACACCCAAGTAGGAACCCAGTATCTTATAGTCTAAATATACCTAGCAAATATCATCTGAACTGTTGAGTTAAAGTTGCAGGTTAAAAACATTGTTTAAGTTCTAACAAAAATCAATTTGGGGGCCATAAATAAGCTATTTTTTTAAAAAAAAAAACACACCACACACCATAGATCCGACGTCTCCTCAACACAAGGTGGCAGCGTAGGACAGTACAGCAACGCGGGTACCTTGAGCTACTATACTGAGCAACTGCATTCCTTTCATAGCTACTGCAAAGCAGTTAGGACAAAACTAAAGACCGCCCTTCATCCTTTAATCTCCTAACACAAACAGTCTTTCTCCAGATGAGAACAATATCACCTAATTTAAGACAAGCCCTAAGACCAAGGACCAACTCAACAGCAGTAAATTATACATTCATTCAAATATTTACATTCTACTGTTCTCCCAAATGGGGATCTAAATGGGCTTGAAACATCATTCCCCCCTTATTCTACACTTCATCCCAACAACCACCATGTATGGTTGGTTCAACTGAGAGTGACTGGACCCGACATCGCATATGTAAACTTCCATGGCAGAGTGGCAATTTGATCCTTCAGCCTCCTAGATCTGAGCATGATATTAACAACCACTAAAGTACAATGGCTCCATTCGTGACGCACTACTGAGGTCTCTACTCTATTCATGACCTAACTACTGAGATGGCAAGGTGACCAACGTTTCCTCTCCAAGATGCATGCTTCCCTTAGTGGCAGCTACATCTTTAGCTGCTGTCAAGAAAGCATCCTTAACAGGCTCCATGGAGGCATACATCAGCTCCTTCAAACACAAACACAAGTTTGCACATGTTTCAGCCAAATATTTGAGGAAGGCAAGCGAGAGGGAAGAAATGGTGCCCAAGTTAGCTGAAACAGAGCATAACCCAAACAGATTTCCATGCCACAGAAAAAAGGAGCAAAAGAGAGAACTACTTAACTCCACTAAACAGGAATAAATGCTTCCTTCAAATTCCTTGCCTATGAGGTTGAAGAGAAGCAGTTTTCAAAAAATTTCGATACGAAGACCATAAAGCATAACACACAAAACTAATAGCCTGGAACCTGAAAAGCTATATGCATTTTACAATGGTGGGAAACAGTCTGTATTCTTAATCATTAGATTTTAATGGTTCACAGCAGTCCCAACAAGTTCTTGCAAGTTAATGATCTGCTAATAAGGAAATCCCTCTGAAGGAATGAGTACATAAACAACTTCAAATGTACGTCTATAACATGGTTGAGACTTAGTCTATTAAGAAGCTGCATTGAAGAGAGGTATCCCAAAAAGCCCCTCCACTGCTCACTTTGAAACAAACCATAGAGAACTTGCATGAGTAGCTTTCACACATCTTTTGGTTTACACTATACTATGAGCTGCAAAACCTAATATCGCTCAAGTTTCAGCAATGAAGTCAGTAATTCTAAAAGCTCACGCTGTTCCAATAATTCATTTTGTACTAGACATTTCTTGGCAATTTTAGGTTGTTTCTAGTGCCATGGAAAGCCGAGTTTCACCATTCTAAGTCTAAAGGGCTTAGAAGAGCACAACTCTGCTTAGGATGGCAGTGTGAATCCCTAGTACCTAACCCCCCCCCCCCATTCATATCAGCCATTAAGGAATAAGGCAAGATTGAAGAGCTTCTTACCTTCACAGACTATTAAATGCTTCTGAACAGTGGACACTTAGGAAAGTAGAAATAGCCTAGAGAATATGACTTTAGGTTTTATGGAAAATATTTTGCCTGTGTGGAGAAACAAAAGGTTGTCCCTGCTCAACTTACAGAAAAGCTGCTACATTAGAGCAGCGTAAAAATATGAAAACAATCATGAGTGTCAGTGGACTGTATAAATGGGCTCATTCACCAACATTCTAAATTTGAGTCAAGTAGTGCACACCCCTAAGGCAGGGGTGTCGAGCTCATTTGTTGCAAGGGCCGGATCTGATATAAATGGGACTTTGTGGGGCCAGGCCACACGCGTCATAAAATGTAATGCCAGATAGCCGAGATATAGACCTTATAAAAGACACAAGCACAATTAAAGATATATAGTTTTACTTCAAATACAAATATGCTTAAAAGTCTTGCAATATTGTTTATTTAACAGTCTTTGATAACTGACACCTCCCAAACCTCCCCCCCCCTTAAAAGATGCCTACCTAAAATGGAAAGGTGAGGGAATAGTGGGATTTGGCAATGAAATTTTAAAAATAAAACATCAAGAAAAAGCACAAGGATCACAGCAGAAACTGCGGTGGCGCAGGCAGTAAAGGAGCCTGCAGGTAATCCATCTATGAACAGCCTTAAGGCTGTTCGAGTCCCACTGCAGCCGGGGTGAGCTCCCGGCCCCTGTCCTAGCTCCCGGCTACCCAGCGGTTCCAAAGCCTAGCAAGTAGACAAATGGGTACCTGCCTTAGGTGCAGGGGGGCACCCGCCTTCCAGCATTGTGGCGGCGAGGAGGAGTGGAGGAATGGAGCAGTGGTACCGGCGCCGGTGGCACCGGCGGTGGAGCGATCCGGTGAAAGAACATGGCGGCGATTTAACACCAAGCAGCAATCGTTCCAGGTGGGGATTGGCCCTGAGACGCGGCGACGCTGCATGGCCAGAGCCAATTGGACAGAGGCCAGCGCAGGAAAGTCGTCGCACAGTCGCAGACTATGGGAGCCTCCCCAGAAGGAGCCGCTGCAGAGCCCGCAGAGACAAGATTCCACCGTAAGGAAGCGGCAGAAGGAAACACGCCGGCAGGGTGCCTGGTAGGCACTCACCTCCCTAGATATACATTGTATGTGGCCCTAGTTAGGAATGTAAAATGCTTGTAAACCGCTCAGAGCCTCCGGGATTGAGCGATATAGAAATTGAAAGTATAAATAAATAAATATAAAAATTATAAACTAAAAATATAAAATGCTCTGAGCCTAGGAAAATAAAATGGCTGAGCATTGCAAGCTTCTCTCCCACCACCCCCAGGTATACTCAGAGTGGCAGTGGCTCTCCAGTGTAATGTCCCCCTTTGCTGTGGGTTCCCAGGTTAGAGTACTCACTCAGGCACCCATTCTCAGGTCCATTCAGCAGAGACAAGCTGGTTCAAAACATCAACCCTGTATTTGTGAGGAGACAACTCCAGCAACCAGCAGCTTCAGCTATACAACACTGGAAAGTGAAACTACTTGAGTTCCTTCCATTGAAATACATGGCAGCACAGCACAGACAAAGTCGCAAAGAAAATGTGGAATGGACATTCCATTAAGGACTCTGGGCCCAGACGGGACTACTCTGGTACTGAAATGACAGCCACCAGAGTGAAACGACAGTCCCTGGGAGTAGCAGAAGCATTCTGGGATTGGAATAAGGGCCCCCAGAGTGGGATTCCATTCCCAGAATGCTGCTGCCACTCCCAGGGTCTGTCATTCCACTCTGCGCCGTGTCATTCCAGTCCCAGAACACAGATTCTATTCCTAGGGACCATCATTCTAATCTGGGGGCAGTCATTCCTCTCCCAGAGCACTGTTTCTATTGCTGGAAACAGTCCCAGAGTAGTCCATCTGGGTAAAGGTAAAGGTAAAGGTTCCCTTGCTCGAAAGCCAGTCAAGTCCGACTCTAGGGTTGCGGTGCTCATCTCCGTTTCAAAGCCGAAGAGCCAGCGCTGTCCGAAGACATTTCCGTGGTCATGTGGCCGGCATGACTAAACGCCGAGGCGCACGGAACGCTGTTACCTTCCCACCGAAGTGGTAACTATTTATCTACTTGCAATTTCTTGCTTTCGAACTGCTAGGTTGGCAGGAAGTCCATCTGGGTACAGAGACCTTAATGGAAAAATCCATTCCGTATCCCAGAAGAGCTTCCTGCCAAAGCAGTCAAAGATAAGGTGGAGGAAGGAGGGAGCTGGGAACTTGGGCAGCCTCCAGCTTCAAAGGGTGAGGACAGGAGCAGGAGGAAGGGG